ATCTCACTGATTGAAATATATCATCATCTCATTGATTGAAATATATCATCATCTCTGGCTGTCACCAATGGAAGCAAAAGCTCTGAAAAGGCTCAATATGGAGGCCAAATGGCCGACATATTGGGAAATTTTGGAGCAAGAAGGAGATAAATTGAGATTGCAGAGTTTTGAAAAATTAAAAAATAAAGTGAGAGATTGGCTCCACTACTATCAGATAATGGAGGCATATAATTTGGATAAGAAAATAGGCTTCCAAGAGGAAAAGTCAAAATTAGAAACAGAATTGTTAGAACCCAAAACTAAAAATTTGTCAAGAATGTATAACTTGCTGTTGAAATGGAATACTCAGGATGAAACGGTGAAATCTGCTATGATTAAATGGGCACAAGATGTTGGCCATAATACTATGTTTGCTGACTGGGAACAGTTATGGACCACAGGTATGAAGTTTACGGCATGTAATGCCTTAAGAGAGAATATTATGAAAATGATATACAGGTGGTACATGACCCCAGTCAAGCTTGCAAAAATTTATCATTTGCCCGATAATAAATGTTGGAAATGTAAAGAAACTGAAGGTACATTCTTTCACCTTTGGTGGACGTGCCCAAAGATTAAGGCTTTCTGGGAAATGATATATAATGAACTGAAAAGGTATTTAAATATACCTTTCTGAAGAAACCAGAGGCCTTTCTCTTGGGCATTGTCAGCCAACTGGTGCCAAAGAAGGACAGAACCTTTTCATGTATGCTACAACAGCAGCAAGAATACTTATCGCAAAGTATTGGAAGATACAAGATCTACCCACTTTGGAAGAATGGCAGATGAAGGTGATTGACTACATGGAACTGGCGGAAATGACTGGCAGAATCCGAGACCAGGGAGAAGAGTCGGTGAAAGAAGACTGGAAGAAATTTAAGGACTATTTACAGAAATATTGCAAAATTAAGGAACTTTAGAAGGATGTTGGATAGAAACTAAGAGGTTTTTAGCTGTAATGCTTTAAGAGACATGGAAAAAAGGTTAACAATTGGGTAAAAGATTAATGGTAAGGATTTGCTGAACCAACAAATTGAATTGGAATACAAAGAAGGGAGGTATGAGGAGGTCCGGGGAAATAAGAGTAAGGAAGATAGGTTATGGAACATTATTGTGTTTTTAACTGTTTTATTTTGTATGTTTTTTTTTTATTTTTTACTGTTTTTGTTTTTTTTTTTGATATAATATTTATTAGTTTTACAAAAATTCCAAAAGATACAAAAATACAAAAATTCCACAGACAAAAAACAACAATAACAATGACAAAAAAAAAAACAGAGGTAACAATATCCATGACAAAGAAAGAAAAAAGAAAAAAAGAAAAAGAAACAGAAAAGTTTAAAAAATATTATACTTTCATTTGACCTTCTTATCTTTCCCTAGTTCTTTGACTTCCCCGCATCTCCCCGCTTGTATTTCCATTTAGGAACTCCTTTCAGCAAATCCTTACCCTCCTTCCTTTATCTTAACTCAAGAAACTTAATCTATTTATATATAGATATTTTAACAACCTTATCAATCAAATATTCCATGCTCTTAAACGCAAGGCTTTTGCCAATACCAGTTATTTTCAATCAGACCTCAATTTAACATTCATTAATTTTATAGTATTTCTGTAGATAGTCTTTAAATTTCTTCCAATCTTCTTCCACCGACTCTTCTCCCTGGTCTCGGATTCTGCCAGTCATCTCCGCCAGTTCCATATAATCGATTACCTTCATCTGCCATTCTTCCAGAGTGGGTAAGTCTTGTGTCTTCCAATACTTTGCGATGAGTATCCTTGCTGCTGCTGTTGCATACATAAAGAAAGTTCTATCTTTCTTTGGCACCAATTGGCCAACAATGCCCAAGAGAAAGGCCTCTGGTTTCTTTACAAAAATATACTTAAATACCTTTTTCAACTCATTATATATCCTTTCCCAGAAGGCCTTAATCTTTGGGCACATCCACCAAAGGTGAAAAAATGTACCTTCAATTTCTTTACATTTCCAACATTTGTTATCGGGCAAATGGTAGATTTTTGCAAGCTTGACTGGGGTCATGTACCACCTGTACACCATTTTCATTATATTCTCTTTTAAAGCATTACATGCTGTAAACTTCGTACCTGTGGTCCATAACTGTTTTTGTTATATCTTAAAACTTTATACTTTTTCTTTATTCTGTACTTTCACGTATCTTTAATAAATATCATTTTAAAAAAAAAAAGAAATATATCATCATCTCATTGACTGAAATATATCGTCTCTCACATATATATCATATCTAAATCTTACATGATGGTTCTAAGTTTAATCAATCACCCAAGCCTCCCACTTATTGGCCTTGCATTCTCCAGTGTCCATTGTATACTGAATCAAGTCCCACTACATAGCACTAAAATTCTGTGATAAATGTATTCTTTAACTCCCCATTTTTAACTCTCCATGAATCTATTCAATTGATACTAGTAATAATGGTGTAGTAGGTGTTTTTTACTCCCATGAGATGTTTGGGTTGGATGTGCCCTTGGATCAAGTCTAAGTTCACATACAGCAGTGATTCACCAATTGGAGGTCCAAGGACCACCCACCCAGCGGCTCCATTACACCATTCACATAACAAAAACTGCCACAGAGATATCCAAATGTTCAAAGGTAGAGGGGCCTATGGCTTGGCTTTTGAAAAAGAAGGGGTCTGTACTACCTAGCTAACTGGGAAGCACTGGCATACAGGGTTTAAGTTCCCAGCTGGTATTATCCAACTCCAATGGCCGTTTGTGAACTTTACTCAATGCCTTTGCCAAAAAAGTTAAGTGATTAGTGTTGGCTGCATCAATGGAGATGAATGCCATTGGATTTTGTTCCAGGAGAAAGCGACCCTCTATTCATCCAGTCTTGGTAATAAATGCCAGACCAGCTCGCTGTTCTACTACCAAGCTGTGGATGAGTGAGATCTTACTCTGACCTTGTCAATCCATCAACACAGGTTGAAAAGAGTTGTTAGGTTGAAAAGAGAACCATGAACTGTCTTAAACAACCCAAAACTATCGGGGATCTGTCAGTGATTCCTGCTTTGCAGGGGCTTGGACTAGATGACCCTTGGGGTCTCATCCAACGCTAAATTTCTATGTGTCTATGATTATATCCAAGAAAGTGAGCTTCATCTACCCTCCCTTACACACTTACTTCATCTGCTCCTATTATTTTAGGTTTGAAATTGCTGGTTATTCAGCTTGTTTAGCAGATAACTGCAGAAATACTTTCCTAAAGAGAGTGTTGCTCAGCTTTAGGTTCTTGCAAGTCCTTTTGAAGCTGAGCTAAGCAGCACAAAACATTTAAAATCATGCCTTCATCCTCTTCCGAATCACCGCATTCACTGGGTTAGAGAAGCATTTGGAACGCATGCCATTCTTCATAAACTTACGTGGTTTCAGCACTCATTCCTGATGTCCATCTCCATGTCCCTCCCTTGTCTTTAAAGAGTCCAATCCAAAAAAGCATTTTACGGCCTTTTACTTGCTGGTTTATAAAGAACTAGGGTAGGGGAAGGGAGAAAGAAAAAACAGAAAATCATCAGTAGCAATGAGGAGCAAGGCACTTCTCTCAAAGCCCTTCTAGACAATGTTCCTTTCTCTGGGAGACTACAGCCCTTTACCGACATTCAACAGGCACAAAACAAATACGTTTCAAAAGGAGCAGGTGTCACCATTGGAAGTCCAATACACATTTTTCTAAGAAGCAGTGATCAAAACTATACCGTGGTACCTTTGTTCTCAAACACCTTGGTACTCAAACACCTTGGTTCCCAAACGCAAAAACCTGGAAGTAAGTGTTCCAGTTTCTGAACATTTTTCAGAAGCCGAATGTCCGATGAGCCTGTCTGGCTATTGTTCCCAGGGTGCCTGCACTAACCGGAAGATGCTCCTTGGTTTTCAAACATTTCACAAATCAAATGGACTTCCGGAATGGATTAAATTTGGCGTTTTGGGTTTTGCTATTTATTTTGCCTTTTTGTTTTTTAGGCTTTTTTGCTTAATTTGTTTTTGTGAATGTGGAACCCAGTTCAGCTACTTGTTGATTGATTGATTGATTGTGTGATTGTGGAAATGGTTAAAAGCATCCCATCCAAACAATGACTATCATCAGTGCAGGTAAGAAAAAAAAATAATTTTAATTTCTACGATGCTTCTTATTAATTTTACAGCACATTACATAGATTCTTGCTTTCATTTTGTGGTCTCGTTAGATAGTAAAATTCATTTAAATTGCTGTTTTAGAGGATGCTTTTATAAGGTTGGAATGGATTAATCTGTTTTGCATTGCTTTCTATGGGAAAGCACGCCTTGGTTTTGAAATGCTTTGGTTTTGGAATGGACTCCTGGAACGGATTAAGTTTGAGAACCAAGGTACCACTGTACATAGTACTCCAAGTAAGGTTGCATCAAGCACCAAGAATAATTGTGTACTGAGGATGTGCTATTGTCCTCCTGATCCAAATTATGATGATGCTGATGATGATGGAATCAAGGAAGCATCCCAAAGAGGAAATATTACAGTGAAGGGTAACTTCACCTGCCCTCACCAAGACTGGCTACATATGTCTTTCCATACGTATGTCTTTCATGAAACAGAGTTAAAATTTCCAGATACTGTAAATGACTGTGCCATAAAACAGTTTGTCTTGAAACCATCTAGCAGGACAGTGACCGTGTAGCAAACACTCCAATTTCTGCATCCATGCTTGCTTGTTGATTCCAGAGACACTGGAATCAGTCTGGCTGTGGTATGCTTGAAGGACTGATGATGGGGTCTCACTCATGTCTGTGCCCTGCAGCACCCCAGTAGCCCCTCTACCTGGGCTAAGGGGCTGGGAGAGGGATATACCTTGCAAGGTCCTCTAGAGTCATCTCCATGATACTCTCATGCCAGAGGGTTAGGGTGGAGCAGAGGAAGACTCTACAGAGCAGAGGAAGAATTTACCGGCAAGCCAAGGGATAGAAGCCCCTCAAGTATCTCCTCCTCCTCCAAGACCTCTTTCCTGACTGCCAGCTTCATTCTATTAGAGCTCAGCAGCTCCAAGAAACCTTAGTGAGTCCCAGATGGTAGCAGCTGCTCCCTGCCCCACCCACCCCTAGGCTTGACTGATGGAGTTGCTGTCTTGGCTGCATACAGGTGGATTGGAGCTTCTTAAATGGATGGTGATGACAGGAGCCTTTGGCTCAAGGAGATCTCCTACCTTCCTGTACTCAGCTTTGATGCTCACCTGTTCTTCCCTTGTTTCCACAGAAATGAGCCTGGCGCCCTCCTGCTCACAGTATTTTTTGGAATCCATCCATGAGCGTAGCTCAAGAGAAAAGAAATAGAATGTCCTTTGAATATACCATCCAACCATCGTCCAAGTTCCTAGTAAGGATGTCTTTGAGTCAAGCCAGATATGGAGGAAGAAAAGAAAAAGAAAACAAGATAGGGAATTTAAGGGACCAACTTTGTATTTCTGTGCGGACTTCAATTATTTTTGTTAAGTTCATTTCTGTGGCCACGTGATAACACACATTCATCTAGGAAGCTCAGAAAGATTAAAATAAGACCATTAACTCTTCACCCCATGCTGATGCTGCAGTAAATATCTGGGTGGGCATAGCTGGGAGTGCAGTCAAGAACCTTTTATTTGAGGGAATAGACAAAAGATGTACTATATAGAGCCCACCCAGGAATTAAATCAAGAGCGTGCTCTGACAGATCAGATGAGGGAAGAGGAGATTGCTGAACCTCGGGCGCCAGAGATGGAGGGAGCTGTGGCCCAGCAGGAACATGAGTTCTTGGATCTGACAAATGAACTTGGAAAAAGCCAGATTTGGAAAGATAAAGTTTGGTTTGGTTTGGAAATGGGGGGTTGGATAGACCCCCCTATGCAGGGATGTTTGGACTTTTCAAGTCTGGCAATGGGCCGTGAGATGTTTGGGGTTGTGGGGGCTCTTAATTCTGGAGGGACTTTGAAACATGTTTTTAAATACCACATGGAGTTTAGTGTGGAATATGGAAAAGGGACTGATTTGTCGAGAAGGGTCAAAAGCACTGTCAAGTTGGAGTTCCCATGATTGAAAGAAGCAGGAGACAAAGTAAAGTACAGGTATAAATATGAAGAAGAGCCGCGGAAGGGACATGGAAGAGACTTAAGGGCCTCGGACATAAGATTACCAGGTTAATGCGCTAGATTGATGGGATAGAAAGGACTGACAAAACCCGGGACCAGGAGGAAGAGATGCTGGATGAAGATTGGAAGAAATTTTTTTTTTATTAGGATTGCTTTATAAAATTGATGAATGTTAGAAAAATGTTGGAACGAAATCATTTGGCTTTAGCAAAAATGTTAAAAGAATTATGTAAGAATATGTTATGGTTATGAGAAATTGGTATAAATAAGATCTAAGTTTTAAGTTTTAGGGTCTTTTATAGTAAGATAAAGGTTAAAATAGATTAAGGTAATGTAATGACAGAATATTATGAAAGATGGAAAGGATTTGCTGTGACAATTAACAACTAGGATACCAAAAAAGGGAGGACTGAGGAGGTCAAAGAAAGAAGGTAATGACAGCTAAGGATTCGAGAATATTGGATTTGTTTTTAAATGTTTGTGGCTTATTTTTGCTTTTTGATTGTGTTGTGTTACGTGCTTTGTTCTTATTTTTTGATTTTGATTTTTATCAATTTGTATTGTTTGATTGTGGTTTGTTTTTCTTTTGTTTTTTCTCTTTCTTTCTCTTCTTTGTTTTTTCTGTATTTCTAAAATTCTTAATAAATATCATTTTTTAAAAAAAAGAGATGTACGTCCTCTCACAGGCCTGATCTGAACCCCTGGGGCCTCACCTATTTGTTAAAAATCTGGATACTCAGGGCAGCATCAGGGCAGATTTGAAGGTTGGGGAGGGGAAGTAGCTGTGGTTTATCACAAAATTCTCTTCCTCTCTCCAGGCTCTCTGCTGGGGGGTGGGGACAGGAATCTGGAGTGTGTGTTGCTGGCATTGGGCAACTGGGACAGATGAGGGATTCTGCTGGTTTACCACCCACTTTGCTGCCCAGCAGTCTCCCTGCCTGAGCTGACAGGATGGATCCAGTGGGCTTCCAAAATGGCTCTGGGGGATTTTGGTGCTCCTGCCAAACTTTGGCCAAGCTCTGGAACAACAACAACAACAACAACAACAACAACAACAACAACAACATAATACTTTATTTATATGCTTTTATTTATGTTGTGCCTGTTGTGACGTGGGGTTTGTGATTTCAGCTCTCCTGATATAACATGCTGGAGACAGTTCTCTAGTAACACTTCTTTATTAAAGCAACAAGACTCCAGACTGGGAAGAGGAAAGCTACATTTATAGGGACAGGGAACTAGCAAGAAAGGATACATTTTGGAGGGAACAATATCAGGCAATCACAGTCCTGCCTTTTGGAGGGAACCAAAAATACACAGGATCCAAATACAGCAGCTTAAATGAACCAATAGTAGCTGTACCCTCTGGAACCAAAAGGCAGTTACTTTACCCTAATGCAAATACAGACAATACAATACAGATATAAAATCCTTTGACTCAATACACAACACCCCTTCCCCTAGTGAGCACAGCAGACGTAATCTCTCAGGTACTGTGGGGCCTACAACTTCTACTTGATCTCTTGACAACAGGTGTTGCCGGTTCTGGATTGGGTGTTACCTGTGGTAGAGGGTCTGCTCTAGGGGTTTCGTCAGGAACAGATGGAGTCCCCGACATCTCAGGGTCCCCTATCTGTACCTCGTCATCGTGAGGACTAGCAGACCCTGGTTCATTTGCTAAAGCCCCTGGTGCTTGCACCTCTGGGCCATTTTCACTCTGGTCTTGCGGCTCTGCGTCGTTAGCCTGGGATGAATTATCTGGCTCCTCCCTGCTGAGCGCCCGGCGCCTCAGCTGATCTATATGTCTCTTCCACACTTGCCCATTTTCCAAGGTCACATAATAGGACACAGGTCCACTAGCCCGGGTGACCACACCAGCCACCCACCGCGAACCTCGTGAATAGTTCCTCACCCAGACCAGATCTTCAGGGGCGAGATACCTTGTTGTGTCAGTCTCAGCCTGGGGGGTTGCTCTTGAATTATGGTTTGGCATTTTATCCGGGTGGACATAATCCAGCACCGTTACCAGTCTCCTACCCAAGAGCAGCTCAGCTGGCGACTCTGCCCGCTGCGGTACACGGCGCCGCATGCTGCAAAATAACATTTGCGCGATGCGAGCTGACCAGTTACCCTCCATTAAGCGCGCAATGGATTCTTTGGCTGTTCTTACCATGCGCTCAGCCTGCCCATTGGAGGATGGGTGAAAGGGCGCGGATGTGACCCTCTTATGAAGTTATCAGCCAAGAATGCCCTGAATTCTTGGGATACAAAAGCTGCCCCATTATCTGATACAATGGTCTCAGGTAACCCGTGGGTTGCAAACAGCTGCCTCAACACCTTGATGACGGCAGCTGATGCCATGCTAGGGACCATCGCCACTTCTAACCATTTGGAATATGCATCAACGATAACCAAAAAGACCTTTCCTTGGAATGGCCCAGCAAAATCTAAGTGCAGCCGGCTCCAGGGAGATCTGGACTGCTCCCACCAGTGGACTGGTGCTCTGGCCACTTCTGGCCGCACCTCTTGGCATGCCTTGCATGTTCGTACCCATTGTTCTATGTTCTGGTCCATTCCAGGCCACCACACATAACATCGGGCTAGCGACTTCATCCTGACCATTCCCGGGTGTCCCATGTGAAGAGACTCAAGAACCCTGTTTCTCAGTGGTGCTGGGATGATCACCCTATCTCCCCACAGGAGACAACCCTTATGCATGGACAACTCGTGCTGCCTAGTCGCATAAGGCCTGAATTTGTCTTCATGCGGACCACCTGGCCACCCTCCCCACCCAAGTGAGCACACGGGAGAGAACAGCATCTTTCCTCGTTTTCAGCTATATCAGTAGCCGTTACAGGAGCCCCGGAAGTGTTTCCAGCATCATTATGTGCCCGCTGGAGCAGGATCCTCAGTGCTCCCGCCAGGAAGGGGCAATCGACTCAGCGCATCCGCGTGGCACAACCGCTTCCCGGCACATGGGTCAAGGTGTACTGGAACCCGCTCAGGAATATAGACCAACGTAACATTCTGGGGGAGAGAATTTGTGGCGTTTGTTTGTTCGGGTTGAACAACCCTAACAGTGGCTTGTGGTCCGTTTCAATGTAGAAATGGCGACCGTACACATAATCATGGAACTGTTTGATTCCTGCCACAATTGCAAGCGCCTCTTTGTCAATTTGAGCATAGTTGCGCTCCGTGGGCGACAACGTACGGGAATAGAAAGAGATGGGCTTTCCGACCCATCCGGTTCCCTATGACTTAGCACCGCCCCCAGGCCGTATTGAGAGGCATCACATGCCAGGACCAGAGGCTTTGACTCGTCATAATGAGCAAGGACACTCCTGCTACTCAGCATTCCTCGCAAGGAGTCAAAGCCTTCTGCTGCCCCTGCCCCCATCGCCACACAGTCTTTTCTGCAACAGTCTATGTAATGGTTCAGCTACCGAGCTTTCTGGGGTAAGAACGAATGATAAAAGTTAATAAGTCCCAGGAATGACTGCAACTCCGTCTTGTTCTGTGGTCGTGGCGCCCGATGATGGCCTTAATCTTAGCATCTGTGGGGTGGATGCCTGATGCATCAATTTTAAACCCCAAGAAATCCACAGTTGGCACCCCAAAACTGCATTTTTCCTTTTTCAGTTGCAACCCCACCTCCTTGAACTTGAGCAACACTGCACGAACACGCGCAACCAGTTCCTGTGGGTCTTTTCCATCAAAAAATGGCAAGACCCCCGGCAGACCTCTTAACAGGTGTTCCATGAGCCCTTGAAAAATCCCTGGGGCCACACAAACTCCAAATTGTAATCTGTTAACTCTGAACGCCCTTTATGTGTGACAATAGTCTGTGCTTCCGCTGATTGTGGGGTTACTGGCAGCTGTTGGTAGCTTGTGCCAGGTCAATTTTGGCGAACACCTTGCCCCCAGCCAGTTTAGCCAACAGATGTGATACGACTGGAATGGGGTATGAGTTTCCCTGAGTGCCTTATTGATAGTACATTTGTAATCTGCACAGATCCTGACTTCCCCATTTGCTTTAAGGGGCGTGACGATTGGAGTCTCCCACTTAGCAGAGTCCACGGGTGAGAGAACTCCCTGCTTGACCAATTTATCCAGCTCTGCTTCGATCTTGGGTTGCAGTGCAAATGGCACTCGCCTTGGTTTGAGTCGGATTGGGGCCACCCCAGGGTCCAACTCGAAGTCAACTGGGGGCCCTTTATAACAACCCAGTTTTCCATTAAAGAGACCAGCAAATTCTTTGCATAATGCCTCGCTCATCTCAGGGCAGCTTTGGATTGAATTAAGCCCTGATATACTCAGTCCCAGGGCGGGGAACCAGTCAGTGCCCAGGAGACTGGGGCGACTGCCCTTCGCAATCACCAGTTTGAGTACAGCCTGTTTGTCCCGGAACTGTACTCTCACGGCACACATTCCCATAACATGGATGCGGCCCGCTGAGTATGACTGCAAGGTTGCCGGGAAGGGTTCCAGAGGGGCAACTTACCCCTGGGGAAGAATGTCCTCGCGGTCTGGTCCGACACGATAGTGAATCCAGATCCGGAGTCCACCTCCATGTCGCACTGCTGACCCTCAATCTTCACCTTGACGTGTGCCTTGCCTTGTGCTGGGAACTGCACGACCCTCCCGTTGATCTCCGTAACGTAGTGGCAGTCCTTTAGAAAATGGGTTGCTGCGGGCGGTCTGCGATGCTCCGGTCTAGGTGCTCCTGTCGCTCCCAACGCCGCCGATCTACAGACCCTGGCGATGTGACCTGTCTTCCCGCACGTCCGGCACATAGCATCCCGGAAACGACAACTCTTCCGCTCATGGTTTCCGCCACAACCTGGGCACCTGCCTCGGTGATCTTTGTGCACTGTGCAGGCCTGACTCACTGACTCGACCCCACGGACTGGGCTCTGGCTCGGAGTAGCCTCTAGCTCGTCCATGGCATGCGCAACTTCTATCTGTGGCTTAGGGGCCTTGCGACTGGCATCAAGCTCCTCTCTTTCATAATTCTCCGTGGCGGTGGTCTCCTTCAAGGCTGAAGCAAGGGTAACCTCTTCTTTAGCCACGATGCGTCTTCTGGCCTTCTTGCTGCTCAGACCACCGATAAACCGATCCAGGAGAGTCTCTTCCAGATTTTGGAAGTCGCAGTGCTGAGCGAGCTTCCGCAGTTCAGCCAGAAATGCAGATACAGACTCCCAGCATGCTGCTGCCTCTTATGAAACTCCATCCGCTGAGCCATCTTGGTCTCAGTAGGCGCCAAGTGGCTTGTTAGGGCAGGCAAGAATATCTTTGAGAGATGTCTCACTTAGCTTCGCTGGAGCAAGCAATGCCTTGGCCAGCTTGAAGGTCTCAGGCCCACAGTAGCTCAGGAATGTGGCCCTTCTTTTGCTGGCGTCGGTGATCCCTTGAGCCTCTGCGACGAACTCGACGCGGTCGCGGTAGTCTTCCCCCGTGTCGGGCTCTGATGGCTGGAAGGGCTCCAAGCCCCTCGCACTCTCCATTGTCCTGTGGCAGGGTCGTCTTCAGCTGGCCAGTGAGTCTTGTTCTTAGCTGCAATCCGGACTCTGGAGGCAGGGCTGCGTTTAACCGCTCCTCAGCATTCCGGATCCCATCCTCGCCGCCAGTTGTTGTGACGTGGGTTTGTGGATTTCAGCTCTCCTGATATAACATGCTGGAGACAGTTCTCTAGTAACACTTCTTTATTAAAGCAACAAGACTCCAGACTGGGAAGAGGAAAGCTACATTTATAGGGACAGGGAACTAGCAAGAAAGGATACATTTTGGAGGGAACAATATCAGGCAATCACAGTCCTGCCTTTTGGAGGAACCAATAATACAGAGGATCCAAATACAGCAGCTTAAATGAACCAATAGTAGCTGTACCCTCTGGAACCAAAAGGCAGTTACTTTACCCTAATGCAAATACAGACAAGAATAATACAGATATAAAATCCTTTGACTCAATACACAACAG